ACTTGCCTAGCCACATTCCGTGTTATGACAGATTCTTTCTTTGCACACCATGGTTTTCACTCCTGTAGCTGCCACACTGCATTAAATAAATCCTCCATCTTTGCTGCCCCTACCTTGGCTATTTACACACACACACACACACACACACACACACACACCCTACAGCATGAATTCATTCAATTGTCTCACACCAAAACACATTTAAAAGGAAAAGGCAGATAGCCAGAGTCAAGCAGGATAACTTGGGGATAAGCTGAGGTTAGCCAGCAACACTGCATGACAGCCTGGCCTAGCATGTCAAAGCAGGTGTGAAAATAGCAAGATCCCTGTCTGATTGCTCCAATCACTCAGGCAGAGAGAGCGAGATCACTTGCTCTTTTGATATCCACTAACCTTTGACCTAGGACTAGGCCTGGGTGGTTTCCACTGGCTTCATCACTTTTTGGAATGGCCTTGTCTTTTGGGTTTATTCTTGCCTTGACCTCTCTACTTCCTGACCTTCCAGATCTTAGAACATCAGTTTGTGTCTTGATATCTAGATCTTCATATGACCAAATGTTGGCTTAGGAGAATGTTGACACCTCTTGATCCTCTGTGACCTATTTTAGCTATTTGCTGCCCACATTCTATTGTGAAATAACTCACTTGAGAGTTTGAATCTGCTCTGATGAATGCTTACAGGCCAGGGACTGAAGATAAGGGAAAGAAAAAGTCTATTACCAAAGCGGTAGCATCAAGAAGATATGTTTAGCCCTCAGAAAAGAAAGTAAAGACCAAGGCCAGATAACTAGCTGCTAAGCTGTGATCCAGGGGCAAGACAGTACTTTACATGTGTACTGCTCAAGAGGGAAATTCCAACTAGAAAAACTGGATCAATAAAGATAGGTAGATAGATACATAGATAGACAGATAGATAGGTAGATACATAGATATGTAGATACATGGATACACAGATAGAAAAGGAGGACAGATAGGATAGATAGAAAAGAAAGACATTCATAAAACAATGAGAGTATGTCACCAGCCAAGGATTATGATTACTACAATTTGAGGTCACATTAAGAAAATAAAAACAAAAACAAAAGGAAAGGATCAGTGCTCTTACTAATAACCAGTTCTCCACATTCCCAGGTTTTCTTTTAGCTATTTTTTTAATATGTAAATCAGGCAGGGTGGCCAGGATCACTCACATATCAAGAAAATCCCTGGATGCCCCACACCTTCTGGCCTAGGAAACTGTAAAACATCATTAGTTCAGGTGAGCTGATTGAATTTTTCTCAAAACGAAAACAAAACAACAGAAAAGTGGAGAAACAAGATGCTGATAAAACACAGATTTCTTACCTAGTTTATCCTGGGTACAGGCTGACCTCAATGATGTGACTTACAAGTCCCACTTTTCCAGGTTTCAGCTCGCATTTAAACATTTCCTCAACTTAACTGAGGTGAAGTCAAACAACAGCCCTGCCAGGTCTAGTAGGATATGGGGGGCCTTCATGAAACCTGCTGTCTTAGACAATTTTGTGTTGCCATAACAGAATACCACACACTGGGTAATTTACAAAGAAAATAAATTTATTTCTTCTAGTTCTGGGGGCTGAGAAGTCCAAACTTAAGGGGCCTGCATCTGGTGAGGGTCTCCTTACTGCGCCATCCCACGGTAGAAGGTAGAAGAGCAAGAGTGAGAGCAAGAAACTGCCAAACTCGCTTTTTAAACGAATCCCCTCTTGTGATAATGAACCCACTCCCATGATAACTAGCCCCTTCCTGTGATGATTACATTAATTACCTCTTAAAGGTCCAACTCCCAACAGTGTTGTGTTTGGGATTAAGCTTCTAACACATGAACTTTGGGGGACACATTCCGACCATAGCGCCTGCTTCCTGAGTTGTTTGGAGAAGAAAACAAGCGCTTTGTTCAGATACGGTCATCTCCTTGGAGAGACAGGCTGATTCTGCTAACCTGGCTACCTGATCCCTGGAACCTACCTAGGTTGATGGAAGCTTAAGAATGCATTTCACAGGCCGGGCACAGTGGCTCACTCCTGTAATTCCAGCACTTTGCGAGGCCTAGGTGGGCAGATCAATTGAGGTCAGTAGTTCAAGACCAGCCTGGCCAACATGTGAAACCCCTTCTCTACTAAAAATACAAAAATTAGCCACCGGGTATGGTGGCACACACCTGTGATCTTAGCAACTCAGGAGGCTGAGTCAAGAGACTCACTTGAACCTGGGAGGCAGAGATTGCAGTGAGCTGAGATCGCACCATTGCACTCCAGCCTGGGCAAAAAGAGTGAGACTATGTCTGAAAAAAAAAAAAAGAAAAGAAAATTTTAAAAAAAGACTGCATTTCACTTTCTGTAGCACTAACTCCTAAAAAGTGGTGGGGGAGAGAACATAGCAATGCCACTGAGAAGGCTCCAAGTAAAGGAGGGTTTCTGACCTTTCACCTAGCATTAAAAGAGCTAAAGATCTGACGAGAATATGGAAGAGACATGTCAAGTGCTTCCTCTATAATAGGAGATTGGTTAAATGAATTATAGCATACCCATATAATGAAATATATGGGTACCCATACATTTAATACCCACATAATGCTATGTATGATGTTATACAAGACTGACATGAAAAATGCTCACAATATACCTTTGGGTGAAAAAGCAGGTTACCAAATGGGACATAGAATATACTCCCATTTTGGTTAAAATATATAATAGCTAACGTTTATTGAGCTTTTAATATGATCATATATATGAGCAAGGCACTGATCAAAGTGCTTCCCATGAATTATTTTAACTTCATGACAACCTGTGATGTGGGTATTATAATTATCTTTTTATGTATGAGGGATCTGAGGCATGAAGAGATTAAATCGTCTGTCATAGTGCACTTAAGTGGCAGAGCTAAGATACAGACTTAGATATGTTGAACATAAGAGCCCAAACTCTAATGCGATGCTACACATATGTTTATATTTGTATCGAAAAAAAGTCAAGAAACACAGATAACAGGATGTTAACAGTTAACAGTGGCTGTTTCTGGATAGTGAGATTATGAATGACTTTTGTTCCCTTTATACTTTTCTGAGTGCTCTGAAAATTTTAGGATTTACATGGATTATTTTCATAATAAGAAAAAATAATAATAAATTTCCATTTTGGAAAAAAGCAAGCCAGCCATTGCTTCCAACCTGTAGGTGCAAGCCCCTGAGGAGTGGAGGAGCAACTTAATTATTACAAAGATTCCAGAAATCTCTACCTGGCTCAAGCATTGTTTAGAATGAATAAATAATATGCTTGTAGCACACTTCTTTCAAATGCATATAAATACTGTCATTATGTATATCATAGTGGTTTTAGTTTGTTACATATTATCATGTGGAGATCCATGGCATTTTCATTAAAATACTAAGGCAATGGTTGGGATCTAGTGAGATATATATATAAACTCTCTTAGTTTGAGTGTCTTCTCAACAATTTACTTCCTTTTTTTCCAGGGGAGGCAGGAGGAAATAGAGGAGAAAAACTGAGAAGTCACACATTATTAAAAGTTAAACCAGGAGGCTTGCTTCCTGGAGAAGACAATTTACAAGAATGAGAGAGTGTGGAGAGGGAGTTGGTGTAGGCCCAGGATATTCTAGTCTGGAAAGACAGAGTACTAATCTCCCCCATATTGTCAGGGGCAAGTGTCCATCCTCAACCACAGGGATGTCAGCACATCAGTAGGGCAGTGGTGCCTTAAGACCTGAGCGCTAACATTTGCTCTAGGGCCAGGCTGGTTTCCAGTCAACAGGAAGACCTGGAGTGGGAGGGCAAAGTAGGTATAACTTTTTCTTGTGCCAAAGTGCCTCAAAGGTGAGCATCTGTCTTCCTTTCTCTCATTCTTTCTTCTCTCCTTTTGTAATGTGTCCCTTCTGTTTCTGTATACCCTCACAACCCCCATTCGGGTCCACATATGCCCCCATAGGACTCTAGTGATCTCATTACATGTAAGAAATCACCCAATCATAGATCCTCACTTACTGATCCTTCACTTAACATGGAGGCCCTAGGGCTTTCAGGCATTAGGAGCAGATATACTGACAAATAAGATACGGTCCCAATCTCTTTAGAAGCATGCAATCTTCAGGTGGAAAAAGCAAAAAACAAAATAAAAAAACCACACACACATCCACGTTTGCTTTAATGGGCATAAAGTTACAACAAGAGTCAAAGAGAGAAATGAGGGCTTTGCTTCCCCCTCTTACTTTGGCCTGTATTTGAGACCCACCAAGAAACCACCCTCCACACTCCACCCCTGGTCACGGAAAGCTTGGAAGATTGGCTTACTCCAAAGAAAAACAGTCCTAACTAAGTCAGTGGCATGGGGTGAAGAAAAGGAGGTAAGGAAGGGAGATTGTTCTGCATTAAAATCAAATTAAGATCTTGACAAAGGGATCAAATACGAATCACTATAGTCTTTGAATGCAGCTATCAATTTGCAAGAAATACAGAGGAATATGCTGAAGCACCCTAAGTAAGTATGAGATAAGCAAAATCCAAATTGTGGGAAATTCTACAGGTCAAAGGCTGTGGGTTCTTCAACAACTAAATCATAAGGAAAGGAAAGAGATGGAGGGGAAACTGACTTAACTCTTCAAAAGCACCAAAGTCATGGAAGTCGAAGAAAGACGGAGAGACTAACCCAATCTGAGTAAGGCCAAATTCCAGGTGCTCCCCACACCACACAAATCCCTAGAACTCCCTTCCCACCAGTCATCTCCCTAAGGTCACACAAAATTCCTATAGTTTCTGAGTAGCCTGTGAGGGGCGTTGCCCCTTCTCTGGGTCCCTGTGTCACTCCAACTGCATGGCAGTCCTTCTCATCTTTCTCCATCCTGATGTCCTAATCCTAGGAAAGACAGTCAAAGTGCAAATGGGCTGGACTAGACCTGATGGGGCAGTCCTTGTGCTTCAAAGCCTACCCCTGCAGTGGGTGGGGGGCGGGGAAGGACAGGAGGGAAGAGGGCAGGTGCAAACTCCTCAGTCATATGCATTCACTATTGAGTGAACCTCCAGAGGCTGGTGGCAGCTTTGGTTGGAACACTGTTCTGAGAACTTTGCCTTCCTCAGGCTCCTGAGCATCATGCCTCATTCCAAGCAGCCTAGTCACTTCCAGAGTCTGATGCTTCTGCAGTGGCCTTTGAGCTACCTTGCTATCTGTGAGTATTGACCCAAGAGTGCATAGCAAGAAGCCAGAGTCAGAAGCGAGGGCCAGATCTAGGGTGACTTTTATGACCATGTGAAGTCTCATCTCAAGCCTTTCCATCATCAAAGATTATACTAGAGAGTAAAACCAAGGAGTCTCAAGTTCCATGAGTGCCCTGGAGAAGAATGAGATAGCACCCCAGGAGACAGTGAGAATAGGTAGGGGCGGTGGTGGGGTGGTAGTGTGTGGAACAGGGTCATGATGGATATGAGTAGATTTAGTTAATTTCAGCCACTTCTGAATCCTTACTATCTAGAGAGGAAAAATTAGGCCCAGGGAATGCTCCTTATGATCATGGGGAATAGGACAGAGGAAACATTAGCATCCCAGACTTGAAGAAGTATAGCCTGTGTTTGAACCATAGCGTTGTCATTCTGGGGGTGGTGGTAGCATGGGAAAAGACAGTGTCACTGGAAAGAATGGTGAATGGGCAAGAGGACAAGCATAGTGAATAGGAAACATTAGAAAGATGCAGATGCTGGGTAGGCGGTGTGTAGGAAGATATGGATACTATAGGGGTGAGGGAGAGTGGGCTAGTGGCTTAATGAGGGATAATGGATAGGGATGGAGACAGGAGACAAAAGGATAAAGATGGTGACCAAATGGGGGCAGGAGGAATGAAAGCTGGTGGGAAACAGAGAGCAGGAGTATAGAGATACAGGCTATACAGGGAAGCAGGTGGACAGGGATGACAGGTAGGCAGAGAAATAGGGCTTGTGTATGGTAGATGATAGAGGAAAAGTCTGAAGAACAAGTAGACATGGATGATGGATGAACAGGATCTGGCTTGTGTAGAGGGCCAGGACCAGAGGCTTAGGTAATGTGGAGGGCTGGTAATGGGACTTTGCATGGTCAAGTTCTGCTGGCAGCACACATCTGGTCTAACTCGGTCCCTTATCAGTTTGGATCTTGCAGCCATTGTTCATCTACCTGCTGTTTACATCCTTGTGGCCGCTACCAGCGCTTTACTTTGCCTGGTTGTTCCTGGACTGGAAGACCCCAGAGCAAGGTAAGACTCATAGACATAGAAAGAAGAATGTTTCATCATAACCTGCAGCCAGGGAGTTCCACTCGCCATACCACAGGCCCCTCATCCAAGTTCTCAGAGCCATGGGAGCTGAGCCAGACAGGACCATCCTAGGGTCTCCTCTAGCAGAGCCATGCAAGGAAAGCCCTGGGTCCATGGAACATATAAGGTGGCACACGCTGACATCAGTCCCTACTGCTTCTTTTGTCTCAGGTGGCAGGCGTTCAGCCTGGGTAAGGAACTGGTGTGTCTGGACCCACATCAGGGATTATTTCCCCATTACAGTAAGTATCTCTTCCCCAGTGTCCTCACAGTTCCCAAAATACTGGGTAGGCATTTATCCCACATGACTAGAGTTGTCCATAAGAAAGATAAGTATCTCAGAGAAGTCTCAGTCTATGCTAGATATACTTCAAGACTCAACATTTCTACTGAGTACTCTATCTCTGCTAGGAAACTTTGGGTGCCCTTGGCATCACCTGCCAGCTGACACAGGGAGAAGGCAAGCACAGTTCAGATCAGTTTAATAAGCATGGATTGAAAGTCTATTCTGAACCATGTTAGGAGTACAGAGAAGTGAAGAGGATCCAATTATCTGCCATCGAGGAGCTCACATCTAATGGGGAGGACAGACAAGTATATCATTTGTTTGGCCCAAGATACAGTAGTAGTTCAGATGGGGGATAAGGAAAGGCTTCACAGATATGGTGACACCTAAGCAGGGTTTTCCAAGTTCAGTACAAGTTCCTTAGGCAAGAGGATTGGGGGGAAACAATGCCAGGAAGAGGTTCCAGAAACCTCTTGAGGTACTGCTATGCTGATCCTCAAGGCACTCTTTGTAGTATACAACAAACACTGCCCCAATTTTTAGAGCCAAGCTTCCTGATCTTTTTCACAAAAGTGCTCATAGAAAATGATAACCTGCACAAAGTACACTGACATAGATGGCTGAGACCTGGCAGTTCTACCTGTCCCAGATCCTACCCTGTTGTCCAGTGGCCAAGGAGACCAGTATCTCAGCCCTCCTGAAACTCATTCATGGTCTATTTGTTGGAAAGCTCTGCTTTAGAGAGCACCCTGATCCCTGAAGTGTCACCACCCTTGTTTCTGCCATGTAATCTCATTCCACTACCTCTGGCATTTCTCTCCATGGCTGCAGATCCTGAAGACAAAGGACCTGTCACCTGAGCACAACTACCTCATGGGGGTTCACCCCCATGGCCTTCTGACCTTTGGCGCCTTCTGCAACTTCTGCACTGAGGCCACAGGCTTCTCGAAGACCTTCCCAGGCATCACTCCTCACTTGGCCACGCTGTCCTGGTTCTTCAAGATCCCCCTTGTTAGGGAGTACCTCATGGCCAAAGGTGCTTCTGACCATACTTATTGGAGCTTCTGGTCCATTTTTCTGTTTGGAAATGTACCCTTTTAAATCCCATCCCATCTTCCCCACCCCCCACCCCCATATCATTATAGCATAGTAGCCAAAAGCAAATGTTCTAGAGGTAAACTGCCTGGGTTTGAATCTTAGCTCTGCCCCTTGTGTGGTCTTGAGCAAACTAGCCTCAATTTCCTCGTCCATAGAGTGGTACAGATGAAAATAGACTGCAAATCAACCAGAAGTTGGGCAAAAAAAAAAGTCTGACCTTAGTTGTGGGATGATGACTAAGTGAGATAATGCAAGTAAAGAATTCAACACTGGCCAGGCCTAGTGGCACACTCCTGTAATCCCAGTACTTTGGGAGGCTGAGACGGATGGATCATCTGAGGTCAGAAGTTTGAGACCATCCTGGCCAACATGGTGAAACCCTGTCTCTACTAAAAATACAAAAATTAGCCTGGCATAATGGTGGGTGCCTGTACTCAGGAGGCTCAGGCAGGAGAATCGTTTGAACCCAGGAGGTGGAAGTTGCAGTGAGCCGAGATCATGCCATTGCAATCCAGACTGCATGACAGAGCAAAACTCTGTTTCTCCAAAAAAAAAAAAAAAAAAAAAAAAAGAATTAAACACAGTGCCTGCCTGCCATAGAGTATATGCTCAATAAATAATAGCTGTTGCTCTTCATGGGAAAAAAAGGGTAAAATTATACATGGGATTCAGAAAGTCCTTCTGGTTATCCCACTGAAAACCTTCCTACCAGTTTTGACTTAGTGCCTCCTGCAAAGTGGAGATATTGCCTCAATGTGAGCTATTCTATTTGTCCACAGCCTTTTCTTCTCCATACTCTTTAGTCCCATCTCATTGATCCTCTCCTCCTAGGAGCTATGGGAACAAGCCAGTGGAGAGCAGAGAAGAGTGCTCCCTCTTAACAATTTTCTCCTCTCCTGATCATTTTGCTCCTTGATTCTCTTTAGGTGTGTGCTCCGTGAGCCAACCAGCCATCGACTATCTGCTGAGCCATGGCACTGGCAACCTCGTAGGCATTGTAGTGGGAGGTGTGGGTGAGGCCCTGCAAAGTGTGCCCAACACCACCACCCTCATCCTCCAGAAGCGCAAGGGGTTTGTGCGCACAGCCCTCCGGCATGGGTAGGTGTTCTCCCCAGAGGGGCAGTGCATGGTATTCTCTGAGCTGCATGACCTTGTACATGATGCCAGGATGAATCAGATGCAAATTTTGCCCTCAGGGAACATACTACCAAGAAAGAATTTTCAAAAGGTACAGGTCATCCAGTCCTTCTGAGCTAGCTAGACTAGTTTCCAAGAGGCCAAACCATAAACCCTGGTTCAATATCAAAGGGGGATTGGCTTAAGGCTGCCCTAGCATATATATGATGCCCACATTATCTCTATCAATACTGATACCTACACCTGTCTGCTAATGGTAAGTGCAAGAGGCAATACAGTATAATGAGTGTGCGTGCAGGAATGGAAGTCAGGAGGCTGATCTAAAATCCTGGCTCTGTGACTGTGCACTCTGGGACAGGTTCCTTAACCATTCTGAGCCTTGGAGTTTTTCCATCTTAATGATGTGGCTGAAAATTGTACCTACTCCACAGGGTGACTGTGGGCTTCAAATGAATTCATCCCCACAAAACTCTTATTGTGTTCCCAGCACACTGTAAGAGATCAATAAATGTTAGTCATTGTGACTTAGGGGTCCAAGCTTGGAGCTGTAGAGTGCCCCATTGGATCAGCAGGCTGGCTCTCTGAGCGCAAGGACAATTGTCCTATTGCAGACTTAGAGAAGAGAGGAAGATTTCTTCCAAGTACCTTGTCTGAAGGGCCTGTTCACCAGTTGGAAGAATCACATAGGGAAGAGAGCTCTGAGCTGGGAGTCCTGGGTTCTAGTCCAGATCCTGTCACTCGCTGACAGCCTGAATGACCGTCCCTTTCTGGACCTGTGCTTCTGCATACCCCACTGTGTCCTCCACAGCCTTTGCTGTGAGGAACCAGTAACATGTCCAAGTGCTGAGAGATTGTTATTAGCAAGTCACAAAGATTTGTATAAGAGATTTACTCTTCTCTCCTTCAAGGAATTTGAGCCTGACATCTACCCAGGGCACTGTTAAGGGTGGATTCTCATGGTCTGTGGAAGGGAAACAACTTTTCTCTGCTCTATGCATTGCCCCTTTGAGTGAGGGACATATCACATAAAGTATGACCATCTATGCAAAATTACTGTCATCTTCTCTGGGTGTTCTACTAATAGAAACAGTCACATATTCCCCTCCTTGATACCTCCTGGAAACTTTTCACGATATGGATCTCTCTGGGGATCTCTGTTCAACTTCTCTTGCTTCCCTGACCCCCCTTTTCTTGCCATTGTAATCCTAGCTTAGAGACAGCTCTCTCACTGGCCTTGAAAATTTCATGAGAAGAGACATCAAACAGGGGTACCCTGTTTAGTGCAAGAAAAAATGTTTTATGTCACCAGGATTTCATCAAAATAGATGAGGGCCTGGCAAGCAAACAAATGTTCTTCCAGGGTGGGTCTCACCCTAGTCTGTGTTTAGAAAATAAATTGGAGTTTTCCTACAGGGCTCATCTGGTCCCCACCTTCACTTTTGGGGAAACTGAGGTGTATGATCAGGTGCTATTCCATAAGGACAGCAGGATGTACACATTCCAGAGCTGCTTCCGCCGTATCTTTGGTTTCTACTTTTGTGTCTTCTATGGAAAGAGCTTCTGGCCAGGGTCTACTGGGCTTCTGCCATACTCCCAGCCTATTGTCACTGTGGGTGAGTGCCACTCTCAGTCCCAACACCACCTCAGGCTTCTCAACCTCGACCTCAGCCCAGCCCCATTGAAGAGGAGGGCAGCAGAGGGGAAGGTGGGAGCTGATCTGGGATGCAAGAGTCAGGCCCAAGGTAGGAGAGGGAGGTTAAAGGAAGAGTAGGTTCTAACACTTTACCCTTCTCTTTTCCCATCTCTCTTGGCAGTTGGGGAGCCTCTGCCACTGCCCCAAGTTGAAAACCCAAGCCAGGAGATGGTGGACAAATACCATGCACTTTATATTGACGCTCTGCACAAACTGTTTGACCAGCATAAGACCCACTACGGCTGCTCAGAGACCCAAAATCTAGTTTTCCTGTGAATAAAAGGACTGCATGTCCAGGAGTACAGGAGTGCCTGCCTTGGAGAAGAGACTCGCCTGTCACTAACTAAAGAGAGGCAGGAGACAAAGGAGTTATGTGTGGTAGGGGAGGGCATGAGGAATTCCTTCTTTGCCTTCTTGCCACAGGGCCCTTGTGGGAGTTCTTCCTGAAGAGCTGCACTCAGTAGTCATTCCTCAAAGGAGGGCATCCTAGCACCCCTCATGCTGGGGCCTGATGCCCGGTCATCACTGGTGTCCTCTGGGACACATTAGCAGTCACTGCATATTCCCCCAGCCCCTGAGCAACTACCTACTTTCTGTCTCTGTGGATTTGCCAGTTCTGAACATTTAATGTAAATGGATTAATACAATATGTGATCCTTTGTGGCTGGCTTCTTAGCATAATGTTCCCAAGGTTCATCCACGCTGTAGCATGTATCACTGTTTCATTCCTTCTTATGGCTAGACAACACCCCAGTATGTATAGGTATGCCACATTTGTTTATCCATTCACCACTTGATGGACATTTGGGTCATTTCCACTTTTTAGCTGTTATGAACAGCACTGCTATAAACACTCAGGTATGTACAAGTTCTTGTGTTGTCATCTGCCATCCCCAGATATAAAGGCTTATCTTATGCCCATAGCACTGACCAGCATCCCTTTAGGATAGATAACAGGTACTTGGGATCATTTTTTAGTTAGCATAGGCATTTCCCATAAGTCACCTTGTCATAATGATCCTGACTTCATAGTCCCAAGGTACTTGCAACCATCCTCATAGCCTCCTGTGGGGAATACACTTAATATCTATGTTTTACTTACTAAATCTTGTTTAAAAGTTTTTCTTGCCGGGTGCAGTGGCTCACGCCTGTAATCCCAGCACTTTAGGAGGTCAAGGCACGTAGACTGCTTGAGGTCAGGAGTTCAAGACCAGCCTGACCCCATATCTACTGAAAATACAAAAATCAGCCGGGCATGGTGGCACATACCTGTAGTCCCAGCTACTCAGGAGGCTGAAGCAGGAGAATCACTTAAACCCAGGAAATGGAGGTTGCGGTGAGCTGAGATCGTGCCACTGCACTCCAGCCTGGGAGACAGAGTGAGACTCTATCTCAAAAAAAATAATAATAATAATAAGATAGGGCATGGTGGCTCACGCCTGTAATTCCAGCATTTTGGGAGGCCAAGGTAGGTGGATCACAAGGTCAGGAGTTTGAGACCAGCCTGGTCAATATGGTGAAACCCCACCTTTACTAAAAATAGAAAAAAAATTAGCTGGGCATGGTGGCACATGCCTATAGTCCCTCTGCTGCTTGGGAAGTGGAGGCAGGAGAATCACTTGAACCTGGGAGGCAGACACTGAAGTAAGCTGAGATCCTGCCACTGCACTCCAGCCTGGGTGACAGAGCGAGACTCTGTCTCAACATAAATAAATAAATAACAAAGTTTTTTCTAAAATTGTATTCTGAAAATCTTAAAAGAGTAAAGAAAAACACAGATGTCTCTTCCTTCATGAGGCAGCCAACAAGAGACACTTAAAAACATGGCAAATGGAGGCAACCTGCCATTGCCGAGGCAACCAGCCATTACAGAGAGAGTCCGCCATTACAGAGATGGGCCACCATTGCCGAGGCAGTTCTAACTACACCCATATAAACAGGACTACAGGGAAGTTCACATGGCAACTGGGCAGAGCCCACAGCAGCTCAGCAAAGCCTCTGCAGGTAGACAGTGACTAGGCTGCCTCCTTGCTGGGCAGGGCAGCCCTGAAAAAAAGGCAGCAGCACAATGGAAACTCATAAATAAAGGCCTAACTCACTGGGACAGAGCACCTGGGAAAAAAGGGGGTTTATGAGTTCTGCTGCAGCAGACTTAAACGAACCTGCCCAGCAGCTCTGAATGAACAACGGAGCTCACAGCTCAGCATCTGAGCTCCTATAAGGGGCAGACTGTCATCTCAAGCAGCTCCCTGACCCCTGTATCTCCAAAGAGTCAACTCATAAAGGAGAGCTCAGACTGACATTTGGCGGGCATCCTTCTGGGACAAAGGTAGCAGAAAAAGAAACTGGTAGCAACCCTTACTGTTCTGCAGCTGCTGCAGGTGATCCCCAGGCAAGCAGGGCCTGGAGTGGACCTCAGCAGTCCTACAGCAGAGGGGCCAGACTGTTAGAAGGAAAACTAAGAAACAGAAATACTTCATCATTAACAAACTGGACGTCCACTCAGAGACAAAATCTGAAAGTCAGCAACTACAAAGATGACAGGTGGATAAACCCACACAGATGGGAAGAAACCAGTACAAAAAGGATGAAAACACCCAAAACCAGAACGCCTCTCCTCCTACAAGGGATCACAACTGCTCACCAGCAAGGGAACAAGGCTGGATGGAGAATGAGTGTGATGAATTGACAGAATCAGTCTTCAGAAGGTGGGTAATAAGAAACTTCTATGAGCTAAAAGAACATGTTCTAACCCAATGCAAAGAAACTAAGAACATCGAAAAAAGATTTGATGAAATGCTAATGAGAACAGACAAGTTAGAGAGGAATATAAGTGAATTGATGGAGCTGAAAAACACAACACAAGAACTTCGCAAAGCATGCACAAGTCTCAACAGCCGAATTGACCAAGCAGAAGAAAGGATATCAGAGGTTGAAGATCAACTCAATGAAATAAAATGAGAAGACAATATTAGAGAAAAAAGCGCAAAAAGGAATGAACAAAGTCTCCAAGAAATATGGGACTATGTGAAAAGACATAATCTACATTTGATAGGTGTACCTGAATGTGACAGAGAGAATGAATCCAAGCTGGAAACTATTCTTCAGGATATCATCCAGGAAAACTTCCCCAACCTAGCAAGGCAGGCCAATATTCAAGTCCAGGAAATACAGAGAACACCACAAAGATATTCCGCAAGAAGAGCAACCCCAAGGAACATAATCGTCAGATTCACCAGGGTTGAAATGAAGGAGAAAATGCTAAGGGCAGCCAGAGACAAAGGTCGGGTTACCCACAAAGGGAAGCCCATCAGACTCACAGCAGATCTCTTGGCAGAAACCCTACAAGCCAGAAGAGAGTAGGAACCAATATTCAACATCCTTAAAGAAAAGAACTTTCAACCCAGAATTTCATATCCAGCCAAACTGAGCTCCATAAGTGAAGGAAAAATAAAATCCTTCGCAAATAAGCAAGTACTCAGAGATTTCGTCACCACCAGGCCTGCTTTACAAGAGCTCCTGAAAGAGGCACTACACATAGAAAGGAACGACCAGTATCAGCCACTCCAAAAACATACCAAATGCTAAAGAGCATCAACAAAATGAAGAATCTGCATCAACTAATGGACAAAACAGCCAGCTAGCATCAAAATGGCAGTATCAAATTCACACATAACAATATTAACCCTAAATGTAAATGGACTAAATGCCCCAATCAAAGACACAGACTGGCAAATTGGATAAAAAGCCAAAACCCATCAGTGTGCTCTATCCAGGAAACCCATCTCACATGCAAGGATACACAAAGGCTCAAAATAAAGGGATGGAGGACGATTACCAAGCAAATGGAGAGCAAAAAAAAAAAAAAGCAGGAGTGACAATTCTCATCTGTGATAAAACAGACTTTAAAGCAACAAAGATCAAAAGAGACAAAAAAGGACATTACATAATGGTAAAAGGATCAATGCAACAAGAGCTAATGATCCTAAATATATAGCACCCAATACAGGAGTACCCAGATACATAAGGCAAGTTCTTAATGACTTACAAAGAGACTTAGACTCCCACACAATAATAGTGGGAGACTTTAACACCCCATTGTCAATATTAGACAGATCGACCAGTCAGAAAATTAACAAGGATATCCAGGACTTGAAATCAGACCTGGAACAAGCAAACCTAATAGACATTTACAGAACTCTCCACCCCAACTCCACAGAATATACATTCTTCTCAGCACCACATCACACCTACTCTAAAATTGACCACATAATTGGAAGTAAAGCACTCCTCAGCAAATGCAAAACAACTGAAATCATAACAAACAGTCTCTCAGAACACAGTGCAATCAAGTTAGAACTCAGAATTTTGAAACTAACTCAGAACCGCACAGCTTCATGGAAACTGAACAACTGGCTCTTGAATGTTGACTGGATAAACACTGAAATGAAGGCAGAAATAAAGAAGTTCTTCAGAACCAATGAGAATGAAGACACAATATACCAGAATCTCTGGGACACATTTAAAGCAGTCTCTAGAGGAAAATATATAGCAATAAATGCCCAGATGAGAAGCAAGGAGAGATCTAAAATTGACACCCTATCATCAAAATTGAAAGAGCTAGAGGAGCAAGATCAAAAAAACTCAAAACCTAGCAGAAGACAAGAAATAACTAAGATCAGAGCAGAACTGAAGTAGATAGAGACACAAAAAACCCTTCAAAAAAAATCAATAAATCCAGGAGCTCGTTTTTCAAAAAGATCAACAAAATAGACAGACCACTAGCCAGATTAATAAAAAAGAAAAGAGAGAATAACCAAATATATGCAATAAAAAAAGATAACGGGGATATCACCACAGATTCCACAGACATTCAAACCATCATCAGAGATTATTACAAACAACTCTTTGCACATAAACTAGTAAACCTGGAAGAAATGGATAAATTGCTGGACACTTGCCTCCTCCCAAGCCTAAACCAGGAAGAAGTTGAAACCCTGAATAGACCAATAACAAGGTCTGAAGTTGAGGCAGCAGTTAAGAGTCTACCACACACAAAAAGCCCAGGTCCAGATGGATTCACAGCCAAATTCTACAAGACACACAAAGAGGAACTGTTACCATTCCTCCTGAAACTATTCCAAATAATCCAGAAGAGGGAATCCTTCCAAAATCATTTTATGAGACCAACATCATCCTGATACCAAAACCCGTCAGAGACTCAACAGGAAAAGGAAACTTCAGGCTAATATCCATGATGAACATAGATGCAGAAATATTCAATAAAATACTGGCAAACAAATTTCAGAAGCTCATCAAAAAGCTTATCCACGATGATCAAGTAGGATTCATCCCGGAAATACAAGGCTGGCTCAACATACGCAAGTCTATAAACGTAATTCACCACATAAACAGAACCAAAGACAAAAACCACATGATTATCTCAATTGACACAGAGAAGGCCTTTGACAAAATTCAACAGCCCTTTATGCTAAAAACCCTCCATAAACTAGGTATTGATGGAATGTATCTCAAAATAATACAAGCTATTTACAACAAACCAACAGCCAATATCATACTGAATGGGCAAAAACTGGAAGCATTCCCTTTGAAATCTGGCACTAGACAAGGATGCCCTCTCTCACCACT